GAGGCAGAATTTTCCCTGCAGTAGGTTGACATTTCTTTCTGCTGTAGACCAGTTGCCATCCAAGGCTATAGAACCCGGTCTGCCCTGCTATTTACCCATAGCTGATGGGGGAGGAGGAGAAGATGAGGATTCATACCTTTCCCAAGGATATTAGGAAAAGTAAGAATTACGTAAGTGCATGAAATGGATTTGAATGGAATTCGATTCTCCGATTCCTCAATCCGAGCCGCTATCCATTACTCCACACGTTTGTCTATTGAGTGATGCTTTCTATTAAGAACTGTGTATTCAAAATGTCTGACTTATCCGTCAAGAGAATTTCAACATCTGCTGTGGAGATTGGAGCAACAACCTTTTTCTGATGACCGAAAACGCTCTTGAGAACAGCGTAGAAAGCCTTTACATCCTTTCTATCTGAAGGTTCTTGGAGTTCAGTGGCTTTTTTAGACCATCAACGCTCTTTCATGGCTCTGAGAGCTCGTTGAACCTGACTTTTGCACTTCTTGTAAGAGATCTTATCGGACGTGTTCACTACGTTAATCTATGCTTTATGAGAAGAAGGCATTTGATCTATAAGCTGCTGAACCTCTGTATTATTGTCATCGAACCAGTCTTGATGCTTACGATGTGGTAGGCCAAGAACCTCTAAGGATGTAGAATGTGTTGCATCCTGCAGAGCCTTCCAACATGGTTCGATATTATTGGTAATGTTTACAGAATCAAGTGCAGCATCAAGTTTGTCAGAGAGCTCAATTTTCGTTTCAGTCGATTTAAGAGGCAGTACGTTAATGCGCTTGGGCACTGTAGATTTTATAATCCTTCGCTTTTGCAGATGCAGTGTAGCTTTCCTCCTAAGTAGAGCGTGATCTGACAGATAGCATGTTGTGTGGAATGAAAGCGTTATCTTAAAATCTTTTATGTCCCTTCTTTTGGTGATGATGAATCGATCAGATGCCAGTCTTTCGAACGAGGATGCATCCAGATGGTCTTACGATAGCTGGGTTGCTGGTAGAAGGTATTAGTGATACGAAGGTTAAATTCTTTACAGATAGTGAGAAGGCATAATCCATTCGAATTCACACGACTAATACTATGGCGACCTAAAACGCCTTTCCAAGAATGATAATCATTGCCAACACGAGCATTGAAGTCACATGTAAGGATTAATTTATCCCTATGTTGGACTTTGAAAATGACACCCCAAAGGAGATCGTAAAAATCATCTTTTTCTTACTCTGAACTACATAAGGTTGGAGCGTAGCAGCTAGTCATCGTCACACGAGTGTTGCACTCCAAATTAAGGGTTAATGTCATTATACAATCTGATACACCTTTAGGTAAGGAAGGTAGTGAGCTAGCAAGGTCTGACTTGATGGCGAAGCCAACACCAGATTGGCGTGACTCTTTCTCTGTTTTGTCAGCCTTTAAAAATACGTATCCACCTTTTTCTTCCCTCAGCTGAGAATTGCAAGCCAGACGTGTTTCACTAATGTCCGCTATGTTGATGTTATACTTCTTCAACTCGAGAGACACAAGAGCTGTTTTAAGCTCTGGTGCAGAATCATTGTCCTGGAGAGTGCGAACATTCCAGGATCCATCCAAAATGAAAATTCTTCTTATATTTCTTTTTGTCTGTTTCGACTGCGTTATTGGATAATCACACAGCTGCAGCGGGCTGCCAAGTCTCTCTGTGTGAGCTAGCAATGTTTAGGGTTCCTTTTATCGCCACCTCCCCATAATAGGGATACTTTGTCACCGATGGAGGACACGGACATCACAATTGCTCATGGGTTTGTGAACAGCCATCACCCATGCAACTGTATAGAGCTCCAGATAGAGTCTCCAGTAATATCCTTTTCCTGACCCCATCGCCTTCAGTCTCTCGCCAGCGGACCTTGCAAGTGAACTGTGTGGATAAGAACGAACGAGTCAGGGTAAACCGCCAGAAAACCCACATAAGTGATTTGATTAAAGTGGTGAGGACTTGTGCAGAACCATCCACACTTTTCGGAACTATTGATACACTCAGTCGGTGCAAATAAACGCCACAGACGAAGCAGACAATATACCTCAGGCTTTTCGTGTAAGAGTTTTCCATCTCCTAGACCAGTCGTGTTCTATAACACTAAAGAGGTTGGTCAGCCCTGGTAGGCACTATTTGCCTATAGCTGGGACCCTAACAGGTGCTACCACCCCGGGTCAACGTGAACCTGGGAACAACAGCAATTAAAAGGTGGTCAAATCCTCCAATTTCCCGATCAGAAGACTTGCTGCCGGATGTAGTTTATCGTCATACCCAGGATATTTTATTTATATACGTGAGAGATATAGAGGATGGGTGAAGACCAGTGTTGACCGTTACCCTTAAAAATAAGATACAGCAGACGAGCAACAAAGCTCTACCCAATGCCCCCTATACACATAAAAAACTTCATTTTTATACATTGGATGTCGGAGTAATCCAGTTCGACAATAAATGTGTCAATATATTGCTATATATATATATATATTTTAAATAATATTAATAAAATAAAATAAAAATATAAAATTATTATCAAACATATTAGAATATTTTATTATATTATTATAATTGTTTTTCGACTAGTAATAAACGAAACAAAATAACGTTATATAATTAAAAACGCTTTACCAACAAATTTGAAATACATTACAATTAATAAAAAAGAAAATGTAAAAGAATTATAATCACAGCAAATGTTATTAAAAGAATCTTTCAATAAAACCGACGATAATGAGTAGTTAGTCAAAGATAAACAAAATAAACATTACAACTCTAAAAGCTTTCCTCCAGTTTCGAAAATTACGACCAAATCGTAAAAACAAAGAAATCTTACGTTTAAATTTAAATAGAATAGAATCTAGAATTATTCATGCCACTATTTAATAACTAAAACAAATATAATGCATTATGTTAAGTCTTAGTGAGATTTTCTTAATAAATTACATTTGCTAAACAACACTTATTTTAAAATAAAAATCGTTGTATGCAATCTTAAAAATAAATAAAAGTTTAAGAATATATTAAATACTATAGGTGCATAATAACACAACAAATATAATCTAATATAATATAATAAACAAAGAAAAAAAATAAAAGAATAAAAGATAATTATAAAAATTAAGACTTTCCTTTTTAAAAAATATGACATCGCTTTCTTTGAGCAATGAAAAAAAAGACACGTCCGTATAATCCGATATCAGCGTTCAACATATATTATATATATATATATATATATATATATATATATATATATATATATATCATGTAAAATGAGAACGAGTCCAATTCCGACGTTCGTAACATTCAATTTAAAAGAGGCCTCAATGCAAAAAGTAGAGCAATATTCATTATTTTAGGATATTGCATCAAAAACATTAAAAAAACGCTACACGAATGCAATCATGTTTCGATGCGTATTAACACATCTCACCAGGCCTGAGATGTGTTAATAAGCCTCGAAACATGATTGCATTAGTGTAGCGATTTTTTACATGTTTTGATGTAATATTCTAAAATAAAGTATATATATATATATGTATATATATATATATATATATATATATATATTGTTTAACTACTATTTCCACCGTGGACATTCTTATTACACTCACCCTGCTTATTGATATTTTGAAGGTGTTCCAACCTGGACAGTTTCATAACGTGTCAGCCAAAATATTCTCTCAGTCCTTATACATTTATTATTTAAAATCCAGCTAACGTTTCATTGCAATTTTAACGCGCATATATAATTTCCTTTTTCATTCTTAATAAGATGACCTTGTGGTGGAGAAAATGATATTAAGGCGCGAATTTCATAAAAGGACACGCTGCGTAATTAACACCACTAATTTCTTAAGGCATAAAGCCGTGAAAACATTCATTAATTTTTTGAACCACACGTCTGACCTTTCTCCATTCACACTTGGGCTTGGGACAGGAATCGGTAGGGTTTTTTTGCTATCTGGAGATTTGTATTTTACGAATAAAATACAGGGGGTCGTTTGTTGTTTTTAGAGATAAAGTTTCTTTTATATGTTAAAACAAACGTGGTGGAAAACTTTTCGTTAATATTTTATTAAAGTGATTCGGTCTAAAGTTGATAATTGAAAGCAACAATCAAAACAAATATAAGGAAAACGTTATTCCTGATATATAAAACGTACATAAATGGACAAAATAATTAACTTTTGAATAAAACCGTAGAATTTAAGCTCGTGAAAAAAAAAGTAGTGGTAATCTTGCGATCGTCTTAAAGACAGAGCTGTTGTGTACACGACATTGTAAGAGCGAGTAAAATAGAGAATGGAAAAGACCTGAAGAGAATTTGAAAAGATGCCAAGTTTAAAACTGGCGTAGTCATCGTAAGGGAACACAAAACGCACAACCTCTCTTCTCTTTCACACGTAGCAACTTTCAATTCACGCAAAAAAATACGAGTGACGCATTTATAGCGAAATAGCAGTTATGAAGACATCTATACTTGCGATCATCTATACTATGGACTTGACTGCTATAATAACGAAGAACTACAAATGTTAAAGCTGATAAGATGCTTGCTCATAGGTTCGAAACAATAAAGAATTAACACCTTTTTTCAGATTTCACACAATGTACGAAGGTACATCTATAAGTCGGCAGTTTGATATCGTTATTAGCTGGAATTTAATCTGAAATATTTATTGAAAAAGAGATGCAAGTTAGAGCAATGTGATTGATTTTTTACGGCATATCAACCCATTGCAGGTTATTTAAAGCCAGAAATTAATGTCAGATTGTAAGAATTTTTTGAAATAATAATGATTTACTGATACAATTCCTAATAATTAACACATATCTGTGGAGAGAATAGATGGATTCCTATCGTTCCTAAAGGCATTTTGCGCGTAAGTGAATATAAGGAGCCCGAATGGAATTCGAACTCGACTCTCCAAATTCTAATTTCTGAACCGTTATCCGTTAAACCATCCGCACATCAGAGCTTACAGGACCTGGTATTTTCAAACGATCACCCATCTAGGTACTGACCAGACTCGACATTGCTTAACTTTTGTGATCGTACGAGAACCGGTGTGTCTAGGGAAGCGTTGGATCAAGTGCATTGATAAGGACGGTGATTATATTTAAAAATACTTGCTATTTAATGTTATAGCATATCTACGGATGATAATGGGTGTGTCCCCATTCACATAAATGCAGTAGTAAATACTGTATGTTGGTCTGCAGTTGGAGATTCGTTTCCAGCTCGGATACGGGGAATTTTTGGCCGAGCTTACGGGGTCGAATACTCCATATTAAATTTGGTCTTGTACAACATCTGACCGCGTGGGGCGGTTAGTAGATATCCTGCAGTTGGAGATTCATTGTGGAATTCACTTGAGTCACTTCTAGCAGTTGACTACTTTTTCTACGCGCCGCTGGCGAATCTTATATGTGTTGTTCTTGTCCTAAGTATTATTGTTCATTACCAACCTTTGTTTGATTATTCTATTTAGTGACCTTGCATTTAAAATAAATACAAAGAAAGACATGTTTTTTTTATGGACACGTACAGACTATTGTCAAAGACGCGCTACAAATGAATGAATGCCTAGCTGGTCAGGCGCTAATTTGCGTAGCGACCCCAAGACCACACTTAGGGGGTTAATAATGATGATGATGGTTATGATGATGACATGTAGCGATCTATTTAACTGCAAGTTTCGCTAATTTAATTGAATATATAGTGAAACTGATTTCTGAGGTGTGAGCTGTAAAATGTTTTAAATTGGCGTAGTCATTGTAAGGAAACAGGTAACAAAAGAACAGTACTCATAATCGATTTTCTTAAAAACCTTTATCGATTCGCCCTGACCTGGACAGCAGCTATGACTTCCAGCCAGCCTAGTCCCCGTATTCTTTTATTTCCTGACCACACCTGTGATCATCCGTGGGTAGAGGTGAGAGTAGTCCAAACAGAACCAAGATGGAACTTGCCTTTCTTTTTCTTTCTCAACCGGTTGCGATTAATCTAAAAATGAGAAAAGAACATGGGAAAAGTTCCCTATAAGCAAATAACACTGTGTGTAGTAACAGCGACGCCAGTGTAAATTTATAAGTTATGGGAATAGCGAAAACAAAAAGTGCGTAATAAATTCGGTCAGAGAGTAAGTATTTGTCGAATAAGAATACATTTTATAAATAGATATTTACTGTTAGATGCCACTGGGTTACATATAAATGGGGAAATTGTTACGAGTTGAGATGCAGCACAAATAATACATGGATTTTCCCCAAAATTTGAGATGAATCAGGCAACCATTAAAGCTAGGAAAAACGTTTAAACAATTACCTTTCTCTTAATTGGGTTTGAAAAAATGTAGTTCTGTGATAACATTGTCACTAGCGATAAAAAATAGCTTAAATTTGAAGAATAGAAACGGGAGACAATTATCTGAGTCCAGATAGACTTTGAATATCTCAATCTAAGCGAAATATACAGTAAAAAAGGGTTCTCCTCTGGTGGGCTTCAAATAATATTCTTTATTATGACACATTGCGGAAAACTGGAAGAATTGTTATTATGTAACATTAAAGTTAGCAATTGACTTGTCGGGATGACACACTGAAATAGGAAATACCTTTCTCTCGTCAAAGAAGTTGGTCAATGATTTCGCTGCACGAAAACTCCTATCCTCGTGTCGTAAATGCAACAGAGTAAACAATCATGAAGTTAAAATAGGAAGATTCACAGGCAATGCATTCTTCAAAAGTCTCATCTGTTTTACTTTGTAGAGCATTCCTTTTCAGGAATATACGGTTTATTTAAAAAAAAAGGGCGAAAGAAAATAGAAAGTTGTAGAAAAATTCTTTGATGATTAAATATAACTATGAATTTACAAGAATAAAACATTTTGTCAGAATGTTTTGTCCATGTTATTCTCCTTCTGTAGAAACAAATTTCTGTTGCCTCAAGTCTCTTCTTGTTACTGGTTCATAAACTGACTTTATAATATAGTAAAAATACCAAAGGGTGGTAACAAATAACGCCGACGTTCGGCCGCTGCCGCTGCCGCTGCCGCTGCCGCTGTTTCTATCGTATTAAAGAACAAACAAAAGCAAACGTGACCATTGAAAATATATATATATATATATATATATATATATATATATATATATATAAAATTTAGTTTTATGGTTAAGGGTTAGCGCTGTAAGTGTTGACCTCAAAATTGAACGATTTTGTTCATAATTATAAAATTAAAATGAATGTACACTACTAGCAACTAATAAAAATTCAGAGAATATTTTTTGTTGTGCTTGATCTTTCCTTATCTAATTTATATTCGAAAAATGTTGTTTCGTCTGAAAAACTATTTGAATGACAATGACACTTCGCAAAACTATAGAACTATTCGTTGTTTGCTGGGATATTTATATCTTATCTAGGAAGGTGATCAAATTATACCCAAGTAGCCCCCCTTTTTATATACAGGTTCTTTGTAATTCTCTTTTGAATATTTTTGTTCGAGTAACATATGTTGGAATACTTTTTCATACTCAAAATCCTATATCACTCACTAAAAATTTCCAATCACCTCCGTTTTTTCTTCAGTTGCTCGCCGCCCACCCAGCAGTGGAAATCGCCCACAGGTAGGCGATATCGCCCAGGTTGAGAAAACTCTAATTTACATCAACATTGAAGTTATATAGACACGCGTAGTTACCGAAAAGCTTTCAGCTCGACTAAGATATAAAAAAAAACAAAACAAAATTCAAGTTTTTAGAAGGTAAGTACAAGTGGCGATTCTAGAACTCTGAAAGTGGGTGGGCCCACTTGGGGGACGAGATTTTTCTGCGGAGGAGGTGGGGGAATTCAAGCAACGTCTTTATTTTCTTACTACACCACTATCGTATACACAACGTAGGAATAAGTTTTAGTATAAGTATGTTACTTCACTAAATTAAACGGAATAACTTTTCATTCATAGTAGTAGAGTTCTAATCTATTCTTGCCATCTTTTCCATTCTCAAGCTGTTGGAACACAAGAGAGGTTAACTTCAAAACAAAATCAAAGGGTTAATACTAACGTCGGTACTAGCAGAACAGTGTAATTTGTCTGCTTTGATTTTTTTCCTCTACAAAACTTAGAAAATTAGTGGGGCAGCCAAGTTGCTAACCAAAATTCGGGGGCGGGGAGCATTGGACCCCCCCCCCCCATAGAACGTAGAATCGCCACTGGTAAGTACTTTTCAGAATTTCTACTCATGGGTATTACAACTTTTAAATTACGGGAGGCACTGAAAAGTCTTCGGCTCAATCCACTTCCCTAAATTAAACCAAATGACCGAAGATTAGCTTCTTCTTCTTCTTCTTCTTCTTCTTCTTCTTCTTCTTCTTCTTCTTCTTCTTCTTCTTCGTGTCGTGTTCTTTCAGGACGTGGGCGATCATAGTTCTCCACAATTTCCTGTCCTTTCTAGCTCTTAGCAAATTTGTATTTTTGCTGTCCCTCCTAATCGCTGTTCCTGCCAACCACTTACACAATCTCGTTAGGTAGGTCATGCTATGTCTTTCTCTGCCTCTTCTATGTCCTCTGAGTGTCACATTTTCCAAGCCCTTTTTCCTCATTATGTATCCTAGAAATATGAACTGTATCTTTCTGAAGCTAAGTATATGTGTCTTTTTGTTCCCATTTTCTCTAAGACTTCGTCGCTGGTCACATGTTCTGTCCATGTTATTCTCCTTCTGTAGAAACAAATTTCTGTTGCCATAAGTCTCTTCATCTGAGATTGTCCAGCATTCATTTCCATATTGAAGGACCGGTAGTACATAACAGTTCAGCACTGTTTTCTTTTTTTCTAACGAGATCTTGTTTCTTGGGCGGTCCGATTGTAGGGATCCTCTTATTGTTAATTAAAATATACAGGTACGAGAGGCGTAAAATGTTTTATTGTTCATTGGTTCGAACCATCCGTGACTAGTTTAGGAATTAAAGTGCTTTCATCATATAAACGGCCTCATTATTCATATGATCAAGAAAATCAAATGAAAACACTTGAAAAAGCATGATAATCGAGAACTGCACAAAACATCGTATGACTTGAAGCAACAATACATTTTAGTGAGATGCAGGCAAATGATTTTTTATCAATTACAGATCGGTTTATGACACACCATTATACGACGATCAATGCTGCTAACAACTATCCATGGCTTTCTGTGAGGTATCTAAAAGATTTCAATGTTCCTATTCAGTATTGTTAGGAAAAAGGATAATTGATTATTATTAACGATATACTTATTATTATTATTATTATTAGACAGTTATGAAAAGAGCGCGATTTAAGAAAAAAAAAAAAAAATGTTTTTGACAATGTTAAACAATATTTCAACAGAATGTCATAATTTTTCAAGTATAAAAATATATAAATCTACAAAAAATAAGTCTTTGGACAAGCGTTTGCAGCGTTGATGCTTGTGTGCTGTCTAACGACTTTTTCGTTTATTCCGCATACAGAGTCCGACTGGCCAGAGGTATCTCCTTCCTGGTTAAGAGTATCCTAGATGCGAGGTTGAACCATGTCTACGTTGATGCGGAGGGCCGGTTGATCGGGGCCGATATTGCCGTGAAAAGTGGTTCGTTCCGGATCGTTGCGGTTTATACCCCCAACAATCAGGAGGAACGCTTTTTTCACCATCATGGACCGTTCCTGGCGGATTCGTTATGCGTGGTCTTAGTGGAGGACTGAAATGCCGTCCCGGACCCCAAATTAGACAGGGAGATAGTGGGAGGTCGTGCGATCGTAGCTTGATTGATCTGATCGGCGAGTTTGGTCTCGTCGATAGATACCGGGTATTCACACCGGGGGAAAAATGTGGACGTGGACACGTAGTTGGCCGTCTACCTAAGTATCCAGATACCTGGATAGAATGTTAGTCAGAATGGCTGATGTAGATCTGTTAGATTGTCCCACGTTCCACTGGTTAGGCTATTCGGTCCACAGACTTGTCGGCGCCAGGGTGGCGTTAGACTCTAGGCCTAGAATGGCTGGATACTGGAAGTTCAATCTGTCTTTGCTGCACAGGTGGGACTTCCGGT